CCTTCCCTTCCCTTCCCTTCCCTTCCCTTCCCTTCCCTTCCCTTCCCTTCCCTTTCTTCTTTAGATCTGTCTTTTACTTATGGAAACTTTCTCAATAAAATTATATATATTTAAAAAATATGTATCTCAAATGTGTGTGGGGCAGATTTCTCCAACCTAGTATCCTCAGATGTGTTGATATTACAACTCGTGTAATCCCCAGATGCCATAGCTAATGCTGGCTGTGTATTCCGGAAGTAATCCCCACATATCTAGAAGATACTTGGCTGTGGGGAGCCTTAAATGGAATGCTTTCCAAGAAATGAAACTATTGTGGGAATGTTCTTCCATTTCATAAAGCAAAATGGTGGCCTCCTGATCTTTTATGTACATTTTCAACTATAGATGCTTTCTTAAAATGCTCTGATGACCAACTGACATTTCTTGAGTTGGGCGGCACAATTACCTAATTTCCCCAATGGAATAAATATGATCACAGATGAAAGGTGGTCAGTGGGCAGAGACAACCTGCGTTGTTGCTATCTAGAAATTACCCTGGGGTTCTACAAGGCTGAATATTTGCTCTGGAAGAGACAGAGGAAAGGACTGTGACATGTTTCATTCAAGCATATGTCTCAAGTCTTCAATTTTCTCCACTTGTCAGGATTGTCTCAACACAATACACACTGATCTCCAAAATAAACTGTTTGCACTATATCAGTAGTAGCCACATCTGCTAACATTTCCAGGGCTGTCTCTCCCTCAGTGCTGCACTTTGGAGAAGTGAACTTGTGTTGGAACAAAACATTCAGGAGCATCACCAACTTGCATCTGCAAAAGCAGCAGGGGCTTTCCACAGCTGGAAAGCAGGTACAAGTGTTGCAAAGCTGAATACATGAATGTGTGACAGTAGTGGCTGCAGGGGGTGGCCAGAGTATTCCTGTAGACAGAGGAATAGGAAACAGGATTCACCACCTCTCTCCATCTATGCTTGGGTCAGATATTTCTCATGGTTCTTGGAAGATCTGGTCTTGCAGCTTCCTTGTAAATAAAGAGGTCTTCCCTTTACCTAGATCTGCAGCAGGCTAATGCCTATTCCTTACATGTCCAGATCTTTTTCTACACAAATAAGCATGAAAGGGGGGAAAAATCTGATTTTTAAAAGAGGAAATCATTATTCATCCCAGCTGTCTTGAAAACACAGCAGCAAACTTCCCCATCCCACTCCAGATTGACTCATTCTTTTAATAAGCTCTATTGACCTTCAATTAAGGTTGAGATAACATAAGTTGTTCGACTATAATAATCTGTTTAAAAAAAAAGCTGTCATGTAATGACTTGATTATTAAAATGTCAAGGATATTTTCTTTAATAAAAATAATTCTGCCTGCTTTAGAGAAATAATTAAGTTCTAGCTATCCATAAAAGAAGACACAGTGATGCACACTAGCTTAGGTGTCATTAAAAAGAGAGAGAGAGAGAAATGGTGTTTCCACAATGGTTAACCATGACTAGCCGGAGCCTCTGTTTCTATTTACTTACAAATGTTAGATGCTATAAACAGACAATGAAGGATAATTGCCATCATGCCTATTTGTGTGGTTCCAGAGGGCAAGTGAAGCTAATGCCTAAAATATGATGCTGAATTACATGGATCCTTGAGCTGACTCAAACAGTCCCACCTCCTATAACTGTACTAGATGACATATTTAATTTTAAAAGCAAAACAGAATTTCAGCCTTGCCTGAGCCTTCAGATACACCCAGACTAAGCTTAGGTTGTGTCCTAATAATGGCCTATGAAGCAGCACTAAGAAGCAAGAATTATATATTTCCTTCTGGTACTGTACATCTGAATTCAGTTTCCCCCAGTATCTCATTACAATCTAAGTACTGGATAAACTAACCACAGGTCAAGCTGCTGTAACTTCATTTATCTAACCAAGATTAACTTAGGATCTCTCTCCATGCCACCAGCAAATTGCACTGCAGTGTGCTGTACATGGGGCTGCCCTTGAAGACTATCTGGAATCTGCAACTGGTCCAGAATGCAGCAGTGCATACCGTTCTGGGTGCCCTGAGGTTCACCTGAGTTCACTACTGCTGCTTGAGCTGTGCTGGCTCCCGGTTACTTTCTGGGTGCAATTCAAGGTGCTGTTTATCATTTTTAATGCCCTACTGGGCACAGGGCCAGGTTATTTGCAAGACCGCCTCTCCAACAGGGTATGTCCCCATCCCACTAGGTCAGATAGGGTGGGTGTGCATTAGTCCCTTATGCTGTCATCTCATGGGACCTCAGAGCTGCACCTTCTCCCAGCCCTTAGGAATAGCCTCCCACCTGAGATTTGAGGGGTCCCTACCATCTTCGCCTTCCAAAAGGCCATGAAGACCTGGATCTTCCCCCAGATGTTGGGCTAGGATGGGGGTTGAGGCAGGCTTGGTTTGGCTCTTGGAGGGAAAGGTTGTTTTGGTTTTATTCCTGTTTTTACTGGTTGTTGTGAGGGGCCTAGGATCACTATATGAGATAGGTAGCCATAGAAGTTCTTTAAATAAATAAATAATTTTCATAATGACCTATATTGTATTATAGATGGTGTTGTGTAATAGCTGTATGTGAATTTGGAAGGCCTGAGTGAGAAGTCAGTTGTATTCTTGCAGAGATTTGGTGATGGTGTCATAATTTCATCCCGAAAAGGCATTTCTGCTGGTGAAAGAACCTCAATTGTGCTGGTCTAGATGACATTGGAAATCCCTTCTCATTCCATGATTCCAGCTGTTCATTTCAGGCAAAAAACATAATTGAGGCCTTTGACACATTGAATGACAGTCAACCACTTAAAAGCTGTAGCTGCAACACCAGCAGAGTTCTTCCCTCTACACTGCCCCAAGGGGAAAGTGACCCCTTGCTCTCCCTTTATAGTCTCCAGTATTTTACCTTAGACCACCTTGCTTAGGTCCACCTATCCAGAACCTAGATTTGACTCCAGGCCCCTTCTACTGGAATCTTCTATACCGTTTTAGCTGTTATGAACCTGACAATTCATTCTCATTCATATGGCCATAGGTATGTTTTAATGTGAATTTGTTTAATAACATTTGTGTACCACCAGGCTCGAATGATTGGGGGGAGGTTGCCAAAATGGTAAAAACAAACCAACAAAAGCAGTGCAGTTTCCACTATTTATGATTTTTATTTGGTAATATGTCCCTGGATCAAGGTTATGCTGCATCTCTCAGTAAGCCAAAAAGTCTTGCTAATATGTAGTGGAGAAGGTGGTGGCCTAGAAAGCAGGAGACTGTGAGTTCTAGTCCTCCCTTTGGCATGGAAGCCAACTGGATGACTTTGGGTCAGTTCTCTCTCATCCCAACCCACTTCACAAGGTTGTTTTGTTGTGAGGAAAATAGGAGGCAGGCTCTCCTTTTTAGTTAGGTAGGTTTCTGGGATTTATGTGCTGCTCCAAACCAGTTGTTTACATTCCCTTCCTTCCATAAAAGGGTCAAATTCAAGACCAGTATAATAAACCAGAACAACTACCATCACAATCTTGGCATTCTGCTATTCCTTTAGGGGCTACCAAAGACATGGGGAAGATGCTGGGAGGAGAGGAGGAGAAGGATCCTGATGCTGCCAAGAAAGAAGAAGAACGGCAGGAGGCGCTCCGGCAGCAGGAAGAAGAAAGGAAAGCGAAATATGCCAAGATGGAGGCTGAACGGGAAGTGGTGAGGCAAGGGATTCGGGACAAGGTAGGAATCACTTCTTCATGCCATTAAAAAGCTTATGCCTAATAAAATGCATTCATCTGAAAAAAAGCTATCAGGCTCCTCCTGATTTTTTTCTCCAAGCATTGGAGAGCCCATCTGGATCTAGGGGAGGGGGGATGGAGGTACATGGAGCATGTGCAGATGGCCTCACAGAGATCTCCAGCCTCCTTAAAGGCATCATGACTTGGACTTGATCGAGAAAGGAATTATGCAGTCTTACTCTAGGGGATGACAAAAAGAAAGATCTTGGAAATATTCTCAGGAATATGTATCCCGAGCAATGTTGTCACTAGATGGTATCAAATAACTTCATGGTGCATTTTGCACTGGTAAAGTTTTTGCACCTGGTAAACTTTTCTTGGAATCCCTTGGGGATTGTAACAATTATAATTATTAGCATTAACAGCCAGTGTGGTGTAGTGGTTGAGGCATCAGGCTAGAAACCAGGAGACTGTGAGTTCTAGTCCTGCTTAAGGCATGAGGCCAACTGAGTGACTTTGGGCCAGTCAACCTCCCTCAACTCTAGGAAGGAGGCCATGCAAACCACTCCCAAAAATCTTGCCAAGAAGTGCCAGGCAGACACTAAGAGCCATGACTGACTTGAAGGTACTTTGGAGAAATACCCTGAGAAAAACCCCACTGCCCTACTCCCTTCTTCACCACCTAGACGGGGAGGTTTGGATCCTTTCCTTTACTCAGTCAGATTAAAAATCTCCAAAACTTTATTAAGATCTTGCAGCGTCTTGGTCAGACACACAAGGCCATGTCAAACAACGTCCCCAGGTGACCCCAAATACACATACAGGCAAGCTTATATAGTCAATTTCACACAAGGCATTTCAAACGGTGGAATGGCATTGACTGATCCATGTTTGGTCATTTACACATTTCTAAGCAAGTGGAAAATCCCTCAAACATTTATCTTTGCTCATGTGTCTAATAGTGGCATTTCCATAGAGTTTGTCCCATTATCCAAAACACCTGTTTTGTGGTGTGGTGTCCCGCTCCACTGTACCCGAACTGCACCCTTGCACCAGTGCTGTTTCAGCCAACTTTGCATCTTAATAATGAAGTCTACTTGGCTAAGGCTAAACCTCTTTATTAGCACTGAATTCCCCATGAACCCCCCCCCCCCCAGATTCCTCTGGGTTCATCCATCTCTGCCCTCAAGGAGCATACTCACTCAATATGTAAGGGAGATATTCTTAGCATTAAATATCTCCCAATACACAACGGAAGCGTTTTCCAAAACACCAGAGATCCTTGCATGCTCATTGCCATGTATGCTCTTACATCCTACATCCTACATTCTACTTCCTCAGAGGCAAGCGAGAGCTGATATAATTATAAAACAAGGAACAAGAAAAAAAGAAACAAACCCTGCCATCATTTCAAATATCACACTTTAATCACGTTAAGTATGTCCTTATTTGTATTCCTCCCATAGTACTCGTTTATCCTCTCTAAGACTAAAGCAAACATGCAACATTTTACAATGCTATCAAGCACAGCTCCGTTGAGATAACTTTAGAATATTCTTTAAGAAGTTTGATCCTTACCCAGATTTGAACATGCAAGTCCAATATCTATGGGGCTTACAGTCCTATATATGCTTACCAGCCCCCTTCCCCAGTTCGCATATAGATGGGTGTATTGTGCATGTTTACTTACCTATGAATGTGAACATGTATATCGTGCATGAATACATATTCATGCACAAACATACTAACCCAGGATTGACTAAACCAAGTCTGACTGAATTAACCCAGTTGGCTGAGTTAAGGCAACCTGTTGAGCCATCGACTAACTAACTGCAAACCAAGCAGCTTGGCCATTTGGGATCTGTCTGGCCCAGTCCCTGCCAGCTTCTAAGAAATCTCAATATCCAATTATTGATTAAGGTTTTCTCTGAATGGCTGGATCCCTGGATCTGACCAGAGATCCATTTGTAATAGGGTAGGTGAGTAGCATTTTGGAGAGTTGTTTGAACTTCCATGTCCACTTTCAAGTACATTTGCTCTATCAAAACGCTCTGAAAAATTGGAAATGCAATTCGGTTAACTAAGCAATCAACACTGAAAGTTTTCCTAACCTTTTCAGGCAACGTCACATTTTGCATACTGTATTTTGAAGTGTGAAACAGGAAAGAGAGAAAGTGTTTCAACCTATATGGAAATTCTGACCAACGTAGGTTTTGCATTCTCAGTAAGAACTGACTGGGGAGAAAAGGGATGGGGAGACTGATGTGAGAATGCCCAAAGTGGACTCTGAATTCTTTCTGTCCTTCTGGATTGAAAGACCCATGCTTAGAAATGTTTGATATGTGGATGATTTACTGATAGGTGGCTGGCTTCAGAGCTGAGTTCTTTTTGAAGGCACGCCAGTTTTGTGAGGAGCACTTGTCACGATGTGAAATTCTTTCAGGCTCTCCATTGCCTACAATCCCAATAAAAGTATTTTCCTGGGATTTCCAGAATTCCCTGCTCAACGTCTTGGCTCTGTTTCTCTAATTCCCATGGAGTCTCATCCATGCCAGCTACAGAGCACCAAGAAAGCAAGTTAAATTGTTGTTTATACTTCCTGAAAGAGAGAGAGAGAGAGAGAGAAAGACTGAGACTTGTCAGTGTTGTAGCACACAAAAATATAAAATACTGTAATGAATATTTACCGGTTCAGTTACTTGGGGTTCTTTGATTAGATAATTCATAAGGTAGGAAAAGAGGAATTACTGTTGATTGGAGGGAGAATTTGGATGCTATATAAGGTTGATATATTACTCAAATGAAGCCACTTTTAATGTGACCAGGCCCCAGATTAAGAAAAAGCTAAAATGTCTATTTAGTTATTTAATTATTTCATTTATACCTACTTTTTTCTGGGAGATCAAGAAGATGCATATGGCAGGAGGTTTCCCTTAATTTTTATCTGTGCAATAAACACCGTAAGAGAGAGGTTGACCTACAAGAGGCTGGGGTGATGGGACTTTTGGTCCAAGAGATCTGGAATGTAATAAATTGGGAAGAGATGGAATAGACAATAGTGAATTGGAAGGAATCAAGGTGTGGCTTGAGGTAAGACCATTTCAGAGGTTGTATAAAATTATATATGCTATTTATTTATTTAGGCTTCTAAGCTGCTTCAGCTGCAGACAACTGTAAGCAACGCATACTCCAATGCATTGGAAACATGAAATAAAATAAAAAATGATAATGCCATAATACAAAAACAATAAACTTTACCTCCATTATGCTGAGGAATATCATTTTCTATAACAAAAGTTGCATATTTTAAGGTGGAGGAGCCACCATGTTATCAGTCCCTGATATGATTTTTATTTGTGAATTTAA